GGGAATATCTCGGAGATATTCCCCTACCTCTCAAAATTATTCTTTCAAAAAATAAATAAAATATGTTCATTTATACAAGTACTAGTACACGAGTATTTTAATAAAATACTAAAACATACTGTTGTTTATTTTATTTTGGGTTTTGTTTGTTTTCTTTATACTTATAAAATATTCATTATTATTGTTATTTTTGAAAGATTAATGACAAGTTGTAACTTGTTTTTGTTTTTGGTAATTTTTTTTAGAAGTATATAGCGTAAAATGTATTATAGACGTTGATATATATATATATATATGTTTGTTAATTAGTATTTAGGTAGTTCGTTCAAGTTCAAAAATGAAATAACTAACTTCTATTCTAATAGATTTATTGAAAATATGAAATTTAATTTATTTTTAACAGATAGACAGTGTAAATAATTAAAAAAAAAATAAAAGTGATTATTTAAAATCCAATCTTTAATAAAGAAATTAATATTTAAACCCTTAGCCATAAAATAATACACTCTCTGTGTATTTGTATCTAAAATAAATTAAATATTTTTTTGAAATTATCAAAAAGTCTTTCTATTCTCCTATGATATTTTTGCGCATACAATATGTGTATTCGAATAATTGATAAAAATAGTTTTAATTAAATATTGAAACATAGGAACAATATTTATAAAAGTTATAATATTCCCAATCAATTCCCGGTGTTAGGAATATTCCTGAAACTAAGCTGATGGTTATATATAAATATATATAAAGTCAAAGAGGTTCACAGTTTAAAAATGGAGATTGCTTAGCACAATGGTGTGATTACATGAACCGTTTCGCTTAATTATATCAGCGAGAAAAAAAACGAAATGTAGGACATAGTTGGAACATTATTCGAAATTATGATTTGCCATGATTGATTTTTTTCTTAACATAATTAGTTTAATTATAATTCGTGGTTAACTTTTTGATTAGTTTCAACATTTAAATACATACATCCGATGAGAGTACATAATAAAAATCCTTTTCCCAAGTCGTACGTTTGTTATACTTAACTGTCCTTATCTATGTGAATTAATTGAAATAAAGCCTTATGTTACCGCACAGTGATCAATTTAAATAAATATACTAATTTACCTAAAAAATAGCTTAGATATTATAATTTGTTTTTTAACGGCTTGAGGTATATTTTTAATTTTTTTAAAGCGTGTTGTATAATGACTATCATTGAATCTAAAATACTCACTCCAAAAATAATATTCAAGTCACTTGGACATTGTGCCATTTTTTTTTTACTAAAATTATTTATAAACGAAAAAGAAATTGTTTTAAATAATATTCTTAACACGTAATACTGTACTGAATTGCCGAGCTCAAGACTAAAATATCATTGTATACTAATGGGCGTAATTTGGATTTATAACCTAGTCAATGGACTTGGAGTTTTACAAATTGTTCTAATGTACCTAATGTGTGATTACAATATTACAATAGGCTATGCCTAATGATGTTATGTTTAAATTGCAGACCTATCCACACGATTTGCTTGCTGAAATTGCGGTATACATTATCCGAGAGTTTTTATTTTTATTTTTCAGTCCGTTTGTGTTTTGGTGGTGTCACTAGATTTGATATCGTGCTGTCGTCGTCGTTGGTATTAAATAACGCAATAAACCCATTACTTTACTAAAAGCTACACCAACGCCGCATAGTATTTTCGAATAAAAATGACAGCTAGCGATACCATCGTTGACAGCCGGTAGGCTCTATGCCGTTTTACTGTATGCCATCACAAAAATATAATATTACTCAATATGAATAAATATTTACCAAGTTTAGGTCGGGTAAAACGAAAAGTATTATCAAAAATAAGTCGATGTGAGTATCGTCAAGAATTAAAAACAAGAAAAAATGATCTAACGGGTGCGGTTACCCCTGTGGTATTGGAAAACTTGATAGGCCGGAAAGCGATTCCTGAGAATTTTTATAAATCCTCTTAAGACAAACAAAGACAAGGACCGTTACATTTTGACAATGCGTTTGGTCTCGGAACATTTAATAAGGAAAACCGACAGAATAGGAAACTTTAGTATTTGTTGCTATGGTTGAATATAAATAGGGAGCGTTGCTGTTGAATTAAAGAAACTGTTTCGATTAAAGAAGCTTATTTTAAATACAATTGAGAATTTTACAAAATATGTAAACTAAATAATGCAAAAGCTGCACTAGAAGGCTAATACTGAAAAATAATTTTTTTCATAATATTTTACTATGCGTTTTTATTTATTTAAAAAAAAATATTTGTAGTCTAGTTTTCCTGAAAATTACTATTTTTTTTTAATGTCTTTTATTTTATATTAATAATAATATTAGAAACATATATACAAGTATATACTAAAAAAACCAACATGACTATTTGAAACTAACTACTAATAACAAAAAAAAAAAAACAAATATGTACTAACTAAATACATCAGCCCGTGAGGAAGAAATTGTAACAAAAATCGAATAGTTTTAATAATAATAATTAATTACAATTTAAAACTATTTTACCCGGTTTGCCATATCGATGAGTTAATAAATTGAACTTACGTCGTTTGACTGGCATTCGAACCGCGGTGACAGCCAATAGGCGTGAATTGCACGGTTCGTTATGTCCGCTGACATTTGATAGCAATAATGATGATGAGTGGTATTTCATTCTATAAAATATATATTTGACGGTGTCATTTTTCAAAATTGACACGTTGGTCGGTAAAGTACACATATAATATCTAACCATTCAAATAAAACACAAGGTTGTTTAACCACGACAACAAGAAAAATAACAGGGGGAAATACATTTAGTTTTGATATACATCCACTGAACTCCGGGAAAAAAAATATATGTACTTAAGTAGGCATTTAACAGTGGGAGAATTTATGTTTTGCCTGAAGTAGATGTTAGCTATAATTATTTTGGTTCAATTTATCATACTTATGGTCGAAATGACACATGTATTAAAATACATAACTTAACTTATAAAAAAAAAAAATGAATACACATAAGTTTTTGTTATTATTCAAATATGATTTCAACCTCGTAGGAATATTACATTTTTATATCGCACATTTCAATTATCTCAAGTCATGGAGTATCTTTAACGGATGATTTGACCTTTAATGCCTATTCATTATCATCGTGTACCTTAATAAGATGGTTATGAGATTGTCCAATACCTATTGTAAAACACTATTTACAGATTGTATTATTTAGTGTAAAAATATATAAAAAGAAAACATTTTAATTAACCGTTTTGTAATAATTTTTTTGCTTTTTATTCACTGCTATTAGCTGGAAAGATAAAGGCTTTCATATTTAATGATGTTGCCGTTATACAATTCCAGGAAATGTTTTACCATTGCTATAGACTATTTTTATTTATTTATGACTTCATTACAAAGCCAAAAAATATATTTTTTTTAATAAGGTTTAGTTTTTAATCTTACATGTTTCTATAGTTTTTTTTTTTGGTCGTATCACGTTTAATATAATATGGAAACAACGTGCGCAGTACACACATAACAGTATGTATAAGAGCATTGCTAAAGTAGTATAATTTTAAAGTCACCGGTACACGTGGACTTGCTAAACAATAGGACTTTGTTGTTTAACACAATCAAATAAAGGTATTCAACGTCAGGGAGTTTTGTATGTACATTCAACTCGAGTCAGATAAGAGTCTCGAATAAAAAAAAAAAAAAAAGAGTTTATCGCATTGTTTAAAATGCATTGTAACCGTGCAACGCCAAAAGAACCCGTTAGGCAAAACTTTGGCTATTGTTAAATGGCCGACGGATCGAATTCGGTTTATTGTGTTCTTTAAAACAGAGAAATTCCATTTGGACAATTTAATTCGACCGGTTGAAAAGGTTTATGCCTTTGGTCTTAGAACGTGATAAAACATTTTTTTTTAAACGCCGTTCGATAGCTTACTACTGTTTACCTTCCACTGCGAATAATCAGTGCATTTATTTAATTTAAAACAAAAAAAAAGATATTGAAAACCCACAACAAATCTAACCCTTTCTTATCCGTTCTGCACGGTGTCCAACACACACATATACCGTACTCCGACTCGTTTTATTTTAAATATAATAAAAAATAACCTAACGTTTACCGGGCAACAATTTCAATACTCAGCCATACATTCCAAAAAGCCACTCGCTATCAAATAAAAGTTCGCTTTGATTTCCCAGGTAAAATTGTAAAAACAAATTATTATTGTTTCCAAGAAGGACTCTTTGACAAATATAGTACCTAGGCGAGACAAAACACGTTCACGAACGTTACTATAAATATATATTCAAATCGGTAGTGAAAAAATATCCTATTAAAATTTATGTTTGTATTTTCTTTCTACGAAAAAAAAAATAATACAGCAAAAAAAAAACTCTATACAAACTCAAAAACGATGTTGCTACCTCGACAAACGTTCACCGAAAATGTGTAACACAATTACATACAACATTTTGGGATTCGTGTATGAGTTCTTTGTGCCGTACAAAATTGAAACTGTCAAATACATTTCCATATAAAAAATACTTTGGAAAATGGACTAACAGTACTTCCTAGGCAGTAAGAAAGCGAGTTCTAATACCTAGTACAAAAAACAGATGTGGGTCACGTATTTCAACCGAGAGTACCTACATTACATTGTACATTTGAAAAAGTGATTTCATATGTAATAATAATATTGTGTAAATATACAATACAATAAAAATATACAAACATACATCGACCTCTTTAAGCAAACATTTTTATAGGTGGGTGGTTTTTTTTCTTCTAACATATTCTTTTGTACACAACGTCTTTAGCTCTTAGTTATAAGGAAAAAGATATTATGGTTTCGAAAAAATATATATATATATATTAAGTTGGTTTTAATTCACCAATGATTGAATACTGGGTTTAATGAAAGAATTAATCAAATTATTTTATTATTAATATACCAAACATATTGTTTTTTTTTTTTTTGCAGAGGTTGTAAGGGATTTTGAACCGGTTGTCAGAGATACCGTGACCATGCCCGGTAACGTGGCCGTGTTCTCATGCATAATACCAGGAGTCGATTACAATGGAAGTGATGGCCCACCTGACTCTGTGGCTATAACATCATGGGTACAAGACGGAGTTTTTAACATATTCCCCTCTTGGGAAATTGGTAAGTCTGTTGTTAATATACATAAGTATCTTCAATAACATCTCCAAACAAACATATTACCTATAGCTGTCACGGTGTTTTAAATTTTCTATGATTTATTTATTTATTTTCTTATTTATTCATCGCCACTATACTCTTATATGTCTTTATTTTGTTTTTATCTCCTCTTCTCAAACAACGCTAAATCGTTTTAAATATGTTCTCATTTATTTTTACACGATCAGGACGATATAGCCTCGATAAAAATGAAACATTAATCTTAACATTGCCCGTTCTATCACAAATAATAAAACAACTGACTCTCTGCTCCCAACATTTTGTATAGTAGAATATACTATACTGATTAGTTTTTAATATTAGATATTCATCACATTTATATTCATCGTTTACTTTCATATTTCTTTCCATCATTTATGTTGTATCATAGAAGTATACTAATAATGCTAGAATAATGTAGTTGCTGTTAGTATAAATAATATGTACACATTTTATTATAATGATTAAACTCATTTTGGCCCAATAATGTCTCTAGAAAATTTGTCAGTGATGAATCTATGTAATTTTCGTGGAGAATTCAAAACATCTAAGCGTTAACCGTCAATATTATTATAGTTGTTTATCTGAATGTGTCACAGGAGTTAAGATTTTTGATATTTTCTCATACAAGTACTGTTTTTAAGTTTGAAATATTAGTTGTCCTTACTAGCGCCCGTTAGCATGTTTTTGCATTACAAAAAAAAAAAAAAACCTAATCTGAAATATTTATCATTTTGTTGAAAATTAGACATTATTTAATCGTTAATCGATGATGTCCTTAAATAATAAGTATAATCAATAATACAAATAGTTTTATTTATAGAGGCTAACGTAATTAAGGATTTGTCGACCCTATATCATTAAACTTTCTTTCGGTTATCCCCCAAAATGTTTCTAATGTTTTAATCTAATGAACGAGAGTAAAAAAAATATTAAGCGAGGGAGAAATAAATTACATCTATAAAAGCTAATGAAAGCCGTTAGTATTTGAACGTGACTCGTTTGAACTACGTATTTTGTTTAAATTACATTTTTTTTTTCAAATTTAAAACACCTTTGCATTATATTTAATTTACTCGAACGAGTTCAGTGCAAGTAAAATTGCGTTCTCGTGTTATGAAGCTAATAATAATTTAAATATTCAAAATTATATTATATATATTTTATTTATTTTTAATCCTCACTCAACAAGGACAACTTTGTTTTACCTTAAATTCGGCGTCGGTGGTAATGAATAATATATGCATTTCTCTGAGTTACCAATTTTGAATAATATGATTTATTATTTTGAGAATGAACATAACGCTTCAAACCGTTCGATTTTGCATTTCTTACTCGTGTTAAACGCCAAGGCACATTTTAAGTACATTCTTTCCCAGTCGATAACTGGAAAGCAAAAAAAAAAACAATTTTTTTCTTCTAAAAATCTCTTTTCGGTTTTTTAATAATATAAAAACCATCCAAATATTTTTTTTTTTTGGGGTCACGCGTTCTCGAAACGGTATTAATTTTTTTCGGTGGCGACACAATCAAACTCGCGTTATCTGTGAAATTAAAGCTTATGGGACCAAAAACTAATAACAAATAATAATTTGTTTCATATTGAATTCAAAGCAGCTGTCGCGTGAAATACAGTTTAATTTATTTAACTAAAATCGGCCGATATTTGTATAAATCACTGGAAGCATTCGGTTTTAATCGACTTGGGTTCGAGGGAGCGCATTTTGATTTGTTTTTTTTTTTACTTTCAAGCGTACAAAATAAGAACCTAATTTATTTGGAAGTATAGCATAAAAAAAAACTTAATATATATTATGCTCAACGATTAATGATTGTCTATGAAACATTTTTATTCAATTCCACCTTTTTTAGTATACTTTATTTAGCCGACAAAATATGTCGTCATAATTATTTTTCTTCCGGCGCACGTTCAGGCACATGGCGAATTTGTGTTTACAAATCAGTAATATGACAATCCAAGTTCCAATTCAAGTACGATAACCTTCAAGTTACAATTGCCTAAACAATTAAATTTGATAATTACACAACACGCTTTGTGCGTAGGTATTGTTGGAGAATTCACATTTTATGGAAACGTGTATAGCCTACCAGTTATCTAACGGCAGAAGAACAACGTTAAAACACACATATATTTTATGTGGACCGTTTAAATAATAACCATAAAATGATTTAAACCTTTGAAACTTATAAATATCCACCGTGGGTTACGCGTTCGGCTATAAAAGTAGGTACCCCGTGTGCGGTTATTATTCATTGTATACATATAATATGATCCCAGGGGCAATATTAAATATCACTAGGAGTTAGGACTGGTAAACGCTTTTCGAGAACCCCGCTTGGTGTTCACCGTCATAATATAGCTGTTGTGCCCGACCAAATATTAGTCAATAATTGGCAAATTTTTATTTGTTTTCCCATCACTCATTTTTGTGTTCGATTGTTCCACCACTTTATTATTTCGGTTTGATCTGCTCTAACAGCATCTAAATTCTATTGAATTTCAGTTGTACGTTGTTGTATCTGTACAACAGCTGGACGAGATGACACATTTTCAATTGATTTACAAACGGAAGTCGTTTAGTTTCATCAGTCGCTCGCATTCGGTTGATTTATTGATATTATATTAATTATCGTTTAAAATATATATTTTGTTTGAAAAAATTGAATAAACCATAACGACGTTTTGTTGTCAGATTCGAAAATCATTATGGTGCCCAAGTCGGGTAACTTGCGCATTGGAAACGTCGACGAGAACGACCTGAGACACAGTTACACTTGTCGTATAGTGAACAAGCTGACTGGATTCACACAAGAGAGTGGCGCAAATGGACGGATTTATTTCGGTGAGTATAAAAAAAAAATACACAGTACATATTTGTATAGGGCACGCATCATAAGTAGTTTATTCCGCAGACTGTACTAAATTTTCCACTTTATCGTTTTGTGATTTTTTGTTGTTGATACAACGCCCTCTTTTTACACGGCAGAATAGGTACTTAATCGTTTTCCATTTCGTCGTGTTGGGTGGGTTTTTTTGTATCCTAATTGGATTAAGCGTTCCGGGTTTCCATAATATGTACAACGATAAGGAGTAAATTCGTTTCGGAAAACGCAATTATTTTGTTATTTTCAGTATAATCAACTTTAAAAGCCCAACAGCCGTCATAAAGCATTGTATTACACGTCGTCAGCAACAGTAATGGTTCATAAAAAAAGTATTTTAACGACCGCGACAGTCGGTGTATGCGCTACAGGGTATGTATGTGGCAGACCAAAATGTCTGCCGGGTCTGCGGTGACCAAGTCCATATTATAAAACAGTTCTTAAAAATTGTTTGGCAATATTATTATTTCCCAAACCCAAACTTTAAATCTAAATGGAAATCACAATTCAGTAAATACAGGGAGGAAAAAAAATTTCGATGTGCCAGCAAGTAATGAACGTAAGTCCTAACATTGTGCCTTTATCAACAATTTTTTTTACATTATCTTAAAAATAATTGTTTGAACATTTCGACTGATCGGTTGGAACAACTTAAGTATTTAAAAAATAATAATTACAACGTGTTAGTCGTTAAATTTATCAACTTGCATATATTAAAAACAAGAAGAAATGTCAACTCATAACAACCAGCATTTAACAATATAAATGTTTAATACATGACAGTAACCATGTTTAACTATGTTTATAACTTTTTCCGTTTTAATATAAACTTTTGAAAAGTATATACATGCTATACGACTACACTAAGTCCTATAGCAGTCGTAGTTTCAGACCTTAAATCCAAAAACTACATCTGAAAAAGCATATAATGAAAAAGTTTCCACCTCTTCTACATCAAAAGATCAATAACATTTTCTTAGTTTTTTCGTTTCGTATATATTACTTAAGTTTGGAACTAATTCGTTATTCATCAAAAAATTATTCCTTTAATTTTAAGATAATGTGTGCATTTTTAAAGGGTTATTTCTTGATTTTAAAAGGGAAGGGGTAATTTTTTTAATTTTCGGCCTCATGAAATAATACCTCTTGGGTACGATTTCTGATCTAAAGACTTGCTTCACGAAGAAAACGATCCAGCAGGCCTAAAGTTATCGTAGGTACAAATACAAAAATAAAAATAGAAACAAGAAACGCACCATTGTAAAAACAATAACTTTGTATTTGAAACCCCCTAATCGACAACAGTAAACCGTTAAACAGCATTAGAAGACGTTGGATCATCATTCACGCCAATTGGCCGACAGCCCGTGAAAAGAACAGCATTTCACCCGAGGGACCCTAGACTTAAGCCTTGTTTAAGTGTTCATCTTGTCTAAATGCACACTGAGTCTTAATGGCAGTGGTGTACCACCTAGTCGATGCATTTGGCCAAAACGCAAAAACACAAAAAAAAAAAAACAAATAATTAAACAAGTAAAAAAATATTATACTTTACCTAATATAATGTTCTTTTAAGCTTCGATGCGATAGCTATGAAGGTATTGGTTTTGTAATGATGTGTTTTTTTTTGTGTATGCGATTGGTACTTGGGTCAAAAGTAAAAAAATTCAACCCTCCCCCTACAAAATTCAGGAAAACACCCAACAAAAATACTAAACTTAAAGCTACGGCACGCTACAACTTTTTTAACAAAAAGAGGTGCAATGGTAGTCGGAACTGACTTGTCTGTTTGCAGTCAAATGTATTTTTTATTAAGGAAAACCCCCCAAAAAAGGGAGTAAATTACACTTTGACCCTAGTCAATAACTAGGTTGCTGTGTGTGAGCGAATCAAGGGGCAACGAATATTTGAAAATGTTTTCATTATATTGTTAATTATGATGTATGGGGGTCCCTATGGAAATAAATTATCATAGACAAACGACCGACCCTAATCACATCTAACGTAATACTAAAATTACATTTATAAGCAAACTGTTGTTTGTCATTAAGTACAGTGCTTTTATCAATATTTGGGCCATTATAGATTTATCATAAATGCGTTTATTTGAAAGTGATTTTATCAATTTTAGTTGTAGCAATTCCACGTTCGCTACTCTGATTATTACAATTGCAATGATTTTTTTTTCTACCTTTCAGAAAAACTTTAAACTCAATACGTGTTACCGTTGTTCGTATATCTTTTTAGATTTACATCCGGGTTTTGTTTGGCAGTAACGGCCGTCCGTAGTTAAATGCCGATGCGATAAAAACAAGTACACACATTAGACAGATACAGCGTTAAGCTCCGTTGCACTTGCCATGTGTCTTCTGGGGGATAAGTTATTTATCCGAACACAAAAGCATTTGAAATTATTCACATAACAGTCTCGAGTGCGTTCCATATTATTATCTCGACGGTATAATGTTATTTTTATTGTGTATACCGACCCCGAATGAGAATGCACGCACACGCCCGAGCATAAGCCTCGTGTGCCGTGTTAGCTCGCAGTGAACTAAACATCCGGTAAGCTCTACTTAAGTTGGCGATTACAGTGTTTAGGGAAGAGCCGTACAGACAATTTTGTTTTTTTGAAACGCATCTGCCGCTCCACTAAGTCTACCATCGGTAAAAAAACAAGCCTACGGTGTAATTTTCTTTCTGTATTAGGTATTGGTGACTTTTGACAATGGTCATGATGTTCTCGTTGGCAACTATTTCGGTAATAGATACACTAAAAATCACAAAATATTGCAATCCATTACATACTCGGTGCTACAGATTATAATTTACAGTGGAACGAAAAACCCAAGAAGTATTTCAATCGCTGCGGGACAACGCTGTAGGTTTAGGCGTTAGGTTGTGTGTAATGTCGTTGGACATTTTTTTTTTGCAATTACTTCTATTGTCTCAAGGTTTGACAGATTGATTAAACCTGTCAATGACACGGTCGTTGGGTATTAGAACAATGGTAGGCGAAAACAGAAAACTCATTAGTTCGTCGAACAGAGAACCTTTTGGAATTGACAAAAAGTTTTCAGTAAATAATCTTTGATGAGCTAATGTAAAGCGTGCTATTTGCCGTGAAGAATGTTATTGATATTTTTGCTCGGGTCGTTTCTAGAAAATATCATTAAGGCGAGAAGTAGATTTAAAATTAATCTTTTCCAATTAAAAGTCATACAAACGGTACGTTGTGGTGCGTCATTAATGCAAACACTATTCTGTCCCACCGTTCTCTCTCGAAGCCAACATGTAATTTATATTTTAAAATTCTCATAAAACAAACATAGCATTAATGTAAAAAAATATTAAACGATAAACTTTGAAAAGTATCATTACTATTTGGTAACCGATATATAAATCCGCTTTTATGATAAAAACTGTATTATAATAAAAAAACATATTATTATTAAACGGTGGATGTACTTATCTTTTGGAAATAATTATCAGGGATTTAATTTGAAATTAAAAGAAATAACAACGATTGAAAAATAAATAAAAGTAAAAAATCAAATTATCGATATCTATATCTACACCTTACAGAAGGCGTACAAAACAAAAAAAAAACATTTGAAACTTATTGTTCAGAACCTGCTCGGAATTTCTGCATTTCAACTAACGTTTTAGTTTAACAGAAACACGGTGTATGTTATCACGGAGGTGTTTAAATCATAACGGTTTCGCTACAGCTCTACATTGCACTATGTGTGTTGTGATACTACAATCACACGACCGATCGGATTTGAACAGAAAACCGGACGATATCTCACTGTCATGGGAACGGTGTTGAGTCGAAGGGAAACGGGCAAAAGAGGCGGAGATTGCTCGGTTTGTGCAGTGGTAAATCGATTTTCGCCATTAGAACGTATGTAAGCGGAGAGGTCCTCCGGTTCCGGTTCGATAATGGACGGATGATAAATCGTTTATGGAAATCGTGTCGTCGAGACACTTGACAGCTGCGGCGTTCGTCATTCTCATCAGTAGCAGAGACGGCGTATTGTTGTATGTGCGATCGAGTATATTATTCTACCGCCACCACGAAGAGATCATAAATAGTTCACACTGTCGTTGTACAGCTCACCTGCAACTTCTGGTGGTATCGAGCGAAAAAGATAATTCTTAAAAAAAAAAAATGAAATACAATAATTATAGCATACTATAGTTATTCGGTGCCACATCAGCTTTGTCGCGCACAATGCCCTGTTGTATCGTTTCGCCTATGGATATGCTATAAATTGATACTTCTTTAAAATTGCTGGACTTTGCCTAGCGCATTAGCCCGACTGTTGGGCATCAAGCCTAATGCCCGGAGAAAATTATTTTGATGCCGTTTACGCATAGGTGAATTTTAATACCGTTCTAGCAGTTAATCCTCGCACGCTGTGAGGGATCACGACTATTCCTACGGATTGTGTTGACCTATAGGATTTCAACGAACGGTATTCCCTCACTGGCCAACTCCACGACGCGGCAGGCAGTCCTATGCCGTACTCTTTTGTTATAATGCCGTTTAACGATTATATTATAATTTTACCGAGACACCTAACAAACATAATAATATTATTAATTCAACCGACACGGGCCCCGTTGTATACTGTAATACAATGAAAACAGCTGCAATAAGGGTGGACCAACGCAGAAATCTAACCCCTTACGCATAGACGCATTCGTTTTGCATAAACAGAACGCCGTGCGGTCATCAGCTGTTTTATTAAAAATTGAATAATAATATAACGAACAACGGTTCGAGAGAAAATAAAATGTATAATTACTCACAGTTTGCCGTTCTATTTCGAACAATATTAATACTATATCATAATGTTGTTATGTCACCGTCCGCTGTATTATTATGGCTAATGAATGTCTATTAGTCGTTGGGTCAGGATTCAATAAGCAAGGGAAACTAGGAAAGTTCTACCCATTCATTATAGGTCTATGACGTTCGCGACATGATTAAATTTTAATCCTAAACTACCCTGTTTATGATAATACATTATACTGTATTTGTCGTCTTGCCTGCGTCACGACATTAATTAATTATTGGCTGTTAACAAACAGATAATTCATTTGATAGTGCTGACATTCGATGAGATTGGGAATAATCTCTGGACAGTCAGACGTCTCGAGGGCCGAAACAAATTGTTCGGGTAGAGAAAAATGTTACTTTTTTCCTTTTTCACCGACAACCGCTCTTATTAGGTTTCTTGACGGCTATCGTTAATTTTTATCAACCACCTGTACCGGTGGAAATGACGGTGCCATTGGAAGTAGGCAAACCGCTCGGTGCACATAGTCCCTCTTTGTAAATGGTGTAATTTATCTGGACGAGACGACGTGGACGGAACTCCCTTCGGATCCCCGTATCGTCCACCCTCGTAAGGGTTAGACCTGAAGACTAATCGAGTTAAACGTTTCCCAATTGATCGTTATCGCCTTACCTATTATAACGTCGGACGGTCCTTACTGGTTGTGATGTATAAAACGACACAAAGACCTCACGACTAAATTAATACTGTCGCCTGTACTTGAAAATTCGTTTTAATTAATGGTGGTTAAACTGCAGACATTCACTAACAGTAAAAACCCAAAAGAGTATCCAGCGGGATAAACAAAAAATATAAAAATATATTAAATAAATAAACAATTAGGTCAAATAAGTGGTCAGTGAAAGCAACAGCTACAAAAAAATATATAAATATTAATCATAATAATAGTTGATCCAACTATACATAAAATCATAATATGTAATGATATGTGTTAGTGCTTTAATTTTACTTTAAACTGTCCATTTATTTATGAAGAAAAATGCAATTGTTTAGTATTATCTAAAAATTCCTCAGCGTAATAATTTAAATTGTTTAAAAAGCAACACTACTGAAGTAACACAACATCATACGCATAGAATATATACTATAGCCTCATTTTTATGGCGTGAAGTTTTTTTTCTACAATAACTATTCGGTACGGTTTCACAATTACTCATCATAATTTTTCGTTAAGGCATTGCAATAGATATTTACCTTTTAATTGGATTATATTCTGTATATTTTACATCATAGTGGAATAATTGAGAGCCGACATTGCGTTCAAATAAAATATATTATTAATAAAAATATTTATATTTTTTATTAGTTCTGTACTATTCATTTTCTCGAATTATTATTTTTTTTTTTATGATCTTCTACTTCGAACAAATTATTGTACGTACCGCCTGTTAAAACAAATTTCATTTATAGTTATTAAATGCAGTCAATCATCGAAGTAATAAAAAGGTTTTGATGACATCTCACATCAAAGACAGCGCAAATGATACCGTTTGTTATATAATATGAATTATGAAATATTTATAATTCCTTCATAAAATTACTTCTAAACTTATGCGAAACGAGGTTAATGTACATAATAAATGCGTGCAATGTAGCTAATAATAACTCAGTAAAGACATCAGATTTAAATCTGCTATCCATTAAAAATGCAAACCTGTCTTGTTTTGCGTAGGTACAGGCGACAAACAATGTACCTACTTATAAAATGGAAAAATTCAAATACGAAATTAATTTGAAAACGTTACGCGGAAAAAAAAATTAGAAGATAAACAAAATTCACTGAACATAATAACCAGGTTTTCATTGAAAATATAATATATGAAAGGTAGAACACGAGGACCAAAATGCCCTGCGGATAAAAAAAAATGGAAATATCCAACTGAAGTGATAATAAAATAGTTCTCTTCTAATACTATTTTATATTTATCCGGTTGATTATGATTTGTTTTTTATGCCACAATGCTTAGTAAGCGCATCGTGTTGTTTATTGTATTCTGTTCCGACGAGATAACCAATAGATATTATATTAATAACTGTTTTAATAAAAGAATTTATTATGTTTTCAACGAGCTACTCTCTCGATTAATTCCGGTATAGTGGTTTTCTGCTCAATTCGATTTCAAATTCAGCGCAAAACGGTTTATTTGGATTTTTTTTTTGTATGTGCACGTCGGTATGATTGGCAAACACCATCCGCTCGGTTTTTATTTTTTTTTAATCACCAGCATTAATATACCATTGGGGTTTCATCGCGAAATAATTATTTGGTTTTAATCCGAATATGAATGACAAGGAAATAACCAATATATACGAGTAGTTAAACGAAATAAAATTGTATTCGATACAAAATATCCTTCGCCATAAAATTGTCATTTTTCAATAGCATACACTACAAAAAATGTATTTGCACATTTTTGGTCTCTCTATAAATGCGTTTTTTGCGTGTATTGCACATAGTATAAATCCCATGATGTAACCATCAAGTATCGCATTATTAAAAATAATTGTCCACTGAAAATATATTAAAATGGAAAAAAAAATTTAATCAAGTAGCTTATTAATTATTTATTATGAAATTAGCGACCTAATAAAATTAGTGGTAGGTATTCTAAATTATTCTGGATTTGCACAAAAAACGCTGTTTCAGCCACTAAAAAATACTATAAATATTTATTTGGATTTTGATGAAAATTTGTTTAAAAGAACACTTAATCTAAAATATAAATAAATGCTTTTGGTTGAAATCTAAAAATCCCAATTCCGAAAACAATTATCGTCATAGTGTAGTGTTTTTTTTTTTTTGTGAAAATCCGGTTTTACATCACTAATTAAAATATTGTGTTAGTACAGTTATAGTCAAGTGGTCAACGGTAAAGTAAAAATGTAGATTTATTGATTTATTTCTCACAAAGAATACTGGGTAAAGATGCGAAACTAAAACTGTATATATATTATATAGCTCATATCAATAACACTCCACACGGTTAAATAGAAGTTTTTGTTTACTTTAGGCGCACCACTAGAAAATTCAATATTTACTGTTTCCTGAAACCAAACAGAAATCCAATGTTTCGTAAAAAAAATTAATTAAAATCTATTTTGATTATTTGATCAAAACTTAAAAAACAAACGTAATATATTTACATACCGGACATAAAAACCAATATGTCAGTGGTAACGGGCAGCCAATCAAAATGGATTTTATGAGTGCACGGTAAAATAGTAATACCTAGTAGTAATGCATATAGTAAAATTGCTATCCCCTCACGCTGCCATTTTGTTTCTGAAGATAACAATAATTCGAAACGATGTGCAATAACCCCTGTATATTTCAACCGCGGTTGTTATGGTTAGGGTAGTAATTAAATCAATGGCGAGGGATGCATATAATTATAATACTATATTATATTGTAAACCGTATATATATATTAATTTTAATTAAATCGGTTAACTGTATTTAGTCTGATGTTAGATTTACACTAGCACACAATGCGGTAATGGTGCTTACATTATTGAATTCTAGTCAATGGGTGCTCGTACGGGTGGTTGACTTCACGAGGACCGGTAATGAATGCATGCTTGCATGCGGACATGGAAAACAAAACTAAAAATGCCTACCATAATGCAATTAAAAAAAAAAATTGGTGTTGTGATGCAAAATATCGCTGGCACTACCGCGACGGGTAGGGATTTTTTGCCATATTTTTAATTTCCACTTCTCATTGTTTTGTGAGCGCACTGCACTCGCAAGCCATCGGGGTAACAACGGTCGCACTGTATAGTCACGCATAATTTAACGGAAATTTTAATTAAAACACTAACTCTACCATGCGGCAGCCATTTCCTCCCGGTGGATAATTAATTTTACCCCATAACTCTGTAGTATAATATGTTCTTTGTCCGTTAAAAAAACAAAAAAAATTATATACAAGTACAAGTACATCACTGAACTGAATACACGGAACGTCGAACGCACATTGCCAAAAGTAGTCGGCTGTTTATGAAAATGTCCCACTAGGCCACCATATTGAGAACAGGTTTTTCTATGATTTATCAAATATACAATACTGTGTTATCACAGTAGAACTAGCCAACTTTTGAAAGAGATAACGGTTACCTTGAAAAAGTAACTTGGCACTCGTTTGATTTCCACGAAATTGTAAACAACATGGCGCTGTCATCCTAAGTCGGGACATCATTCAGCAATGTACCAACCCCCTCCCCCCCCTGTTTTTTGTAACTAAATATTGCTGTTATAACGCTAATTATGGAATTGTATATTTGTGTTTATCCGCAGAGAGCAACCGGACCTTGGCTCCTTGGTCAAAGTCACCCGTGTTCACGTTGCATTTGGTCAAGCAAGGCGAACATTTGCTGTTGCCGTGTGACGTTTACGGGTTCCCGCCACCTCAAGTATCGTAAGTATCGTAGGGTCGAGCAATTATTAATACCTTGGCTGTGGGTTAACACGATTAAGACTAGATGAGAGTGAAGATAGAGAATGATAACGTAAAATAGTAAAACTCACTGGGCCGTTGTTGGGGTTACTTTCCCGGGTCGTTTTGTGCATGCAAACAGTTTCTATGTTGATGTGTTCGAAAAGCAATCAGAGCTCTTCAAGTGGAAATCAACAAACGCCAGATTTACTTTCGACGAGCCATCCGAGTTTGGATACAAACGCTATTTTCTCGCGACCATTGGGTTGCAACTAAGACCGTTTGTGGTAAACAAACACATCAAACAAACGCTAGCATAATAGACTAACATAATATTCATTTCCCACGTCTCCGCCAAAACATCAAGCGGTGGTTTATGTTAATCTTTTTAGAGTCAAGCAACGGCGAAACTTTTATTTGACGAAAAATAATTATTATTCGTTGTTTTAATTAGACGAGAAGCAAAGAGAAAAAAAAGTACCAACTTGATAAATAACCACAACAACCCGGGGGGAAATGTCCGGAACGACGACAGTTAATTTCTTAATGTTAATTTAAAAACGTCGAGAATACCGTGAAAAAGTTTTTCGCTTTAATTAAACGCATTACAGTAATCTATTTATACGTCGGCGAAAGCGTTTGGCCGAAAGAAAACGGCCATTCGTCGAGCAGTAATACTTCAGAGTCACCGTTAAACATAAGAACGATCAGCGTTTCTTATCCCTTTTATCCCTCTCTGACCACAAAAACATGTATTGTCGATGCTGTCGAATTGTCACACTTGCCTAAATGAAAACATAAAAAATTTGAAAAATCGAACGAAAATTCTTCTATTTTTCACTTAATGATACTGTTTAGAATTTTACGGATAATAAGAAACTGATAAATAAATTGAAGGGGCAGCATAGCGAAGTGGACAACTGATGATACACTATGATAATATGATGAATTGACCTAAAACAAAAAAAAAAACCTAAGAAATATTTAGAAAACTATTTACTTCACAAAATTGTATGTACTAACCGATTCATCCGAGATATTTAGTGCAATACACAGTCGAATATGGTAGCGGTTTTCGGCACCGAAGAAGATAGTCTAGAGAAGACAATGGTTTCTATTTTATGCGTACCGAACGTCAATACGTTGCTTGTCATATCCTTTACTACTTCAGTGTATATGACAAGGAGCTAGACGAGAACTCTGAACACTGTCCCGGAATGTAATTACTCAAAGTGGTTTTCATTCATTCGTCGTCCTCGTCATCGTCGTGGTCTTAACGCAATAACCTTGCCGTTGGCACCCGAAGTGCATCGTAACGCGTATCAGATATCATAGTGTTTTCATCTCAACCCATTGTTTTACGGTCCGCAATACCGTCGTACAGCTAATTCAATTTTGCATTTACAAAGGTAAAGCATACTCCTAAAAAGCCGCGTCGAAACGACTAGAAATGGTTACTGCGGTTAGCAGTGGGTGTACGGTATTCTACAAAAATCGATGTTCCGTACATTACCAAGAATTCGTGATGGCGAGACACTTGATAGTGGGTATATTACTTCATATAGTACAGTAAAGTTATGTTAATTTACCTTCTCGGATAATTTATCAATCAACGAAAATCATCACTAAGGCCTGGGAGCTAATGCAATTCGCCCGTTTTTACTGAATGGTCAAACAAAGTAGCTAGACAAATTAGCTACCAATTAGAATTCAATTTGAGAAAAACCAAATTCAAAAATTTGTTTTTCATACTTAAACATTGTTCAGGGATTTTTCATATTTACTCATATTTTTTTAATATTTGCATGTTTAAAACGTTTTAAATGTATTTCAATAAACGATTGATGTTCTCAAACTCAAAATGTGGCGAGATTCGGTGCTCAACAAGTGGCACGCACACAGTTGGCCGTCCATTCAGTCGTAGGTCAGTATATGTGCTAAAGCAAAATTCACTTGCCGTCTATAATATAATCTACGCTGACGGAATAATTGTTCGTCCGCAGCCAACAAACTTTAAGCCGAAATCGATAAGGGTGACTATTAATCGGATGCCGACTAGACGACCGGATGAATAAACCATTAACCACTGCAAGATTTACACATCAATTGAGTAATACATAAGACGCTCATGTGGAATTGCTATACGTTGGAAATTGTTTTACAACATGAACGCCGGGGTGCACAATTTGAGTTCCTACTTCCGAGTTGCTTTCCATTTTTTTTTTTTTTTTTTTTATGGATAACATGCCCGATAAATAATTATACAACTTAACTGCAAAGTTTATCTAACAAATCAAAGTGTATAGTTATATGTATTTAACACTCAATCGTCGCAAAGTTTTATTGTCTGCAATATTTTACTGAACTAATGTATTTACAGTCAAACAAAGTAGTAGTTAAATAAATGAATAATAAAAATAAAATCGCTTTTTTAACAGCTAACACTTGTATATCTCGGGTAAGTTTTATATTTAAAATACAATTTTTTGCCGTAAAGTTTTTAGTGCATTTTAATACTTCCTCGAGCTTGGCACCGCCTATTTATTAACGGGTTATATTTTACGATAATGTTTTAAAATCGTAACATTAAAGACACGAGGCTGCGTTTAAAATTGAATTTTTACCATCCCGCGCCAAATATTGGACGGACGAGTGGGAAATTGTTTCTTAAACCTATACACGTATATATAATATACATATGTGTGTGTTATATTGTTATATTGCCGTCGCTGTAAAATCAAATTAACGCGTATAACAATATGTCCCGTGAGATTAGCGGGCTCTGGTACACGGTCGTTCATTAAGAAACTTGTCACGTTCGATACCGCTTGCGCCGACTGACAAACAAAACAAAAATAAGCATAATACAAAATATATTTCATTAATTGTTCGGTAAAATTAATGAGCCGGAGCTCGTACATAATTAACGCCCCGCGAGTTTAACGGTTTTATAAATAACAATCAATTATAATAATAATTATTATTATTATTATTACCTACCCCGAGACGAGTACCTAACGTCGTAACATTGAAAATGCCAACAAAGTTTCCCAAGACAATAACCATCCTCTATGTTCTATTAAAATCACTCTTGATTAAAGCCTGTAATAATTATTTTCCGAGAGGAATTTGCCGTTCCCCGGAAAACTATTTTATATCAATCTAAAAGTTGCCCGGGTCTTTAAGGCGACCATTTTGCTATTAACACTTTATATTGCCCTCCCCGCGTTTTACCCACTATACCGTGAAATCGAAATTAACGACTGATGCGACGCCATCAAATTTTAAACGCCGATAATCCATAATTTTGAACGCATCCTTATCTTGAACGACTAATCGAAAACTCTAATCTATAATATAATATAGTGACTGTTGTGAATCCTATTAAAATGTTTAGCAAGTACGAGTACGCCTCTTTGTTTCTTTATAATTCATGATTGGGATCCCCTATTTTTTTTTTTCGACAGTGACTCTCTGTATCTGAAATTTATAGGATAGATAGTATAGGTAGTAAAACTTTACTTGTGTTTGGTTTGTATGCAGTTTTGAGCGAACAAGTTAAATTTCTATACACCCAAAACAAAAATAAAGTAATACATCTAACAACATTCCATTGGATAAAGAAAAATATCGTCAATTCCATTATATTGCTACCAACTGTTGGTCAACATTTTAAATCATCATATAGGTGTGTAAACTATGGTTTTAAACACTTAATTAGTATTAGGTATGCATGTTACACTCAATAAAGATTTTAAAACTAGGGTTTGAAAATAATAATTTGTTTTTAAATTGGTACTCAAAAGTTACAACTATATTATGATATAGTTTTAAAATTTGAGTTTTGTTCCTTATAATTTATCATTTTATTGTTACTTTTGATATTGATTTAAAGGGAAATCACTTCGAAATAATAATTAACTCAGGATAAGTTATTCAGAAATATTATTCGTGTTATAATAATTTATATGGTTAAATAAGAGAGTAGTGAAAATTATAAGTAGCTTGCACAAATTCATATATAATTTGCTATTTGAATAAAGTAAAAAAAAATTGTATTTTGTATTAAAAATAAATGCAAAGTAGACTTAAAATGAAAAATAATTCTCAAAAATAGAATCTTATCAAATACATTATATTGAGATCTTTAAAAAGCCTAAAAAAAATGTTAATCTATGTTGAACGTCATATGACGACAGTTAATCACAATTAATCAATACCTTTAAAGAAAAGCTCTCCAGTTCATATTTCTCGATCAAAGTTAAAAACACAAAGTGTAGTGGATAAATAATAATATATATAAAAAAAAGTTTGTATTTATTATTGATCTAAGTTTTAAATAGATAATGGTACGGATTTTCTCCATACCCGTGCACTTCCTTAGACGAGAAACTAATAAAAACAATAAAATATATTTTGTGGTTTGTTAGAAGCCAACTAAAAAGGACACACAGACAATATAGAACAATAAGACTTTCGTGGCCGGTCAAAAACGAGTGACAAGATTGCTGAAAATAAGTAAAATTCATCATCGGCATTGATCTAGATCTGACAGTCGAGCCGAGGCATTAACCGTCCGCCAGAGTAAAGCCTCGTCCTAACCTCCGTCAAAAAGTTTTAAGAAAACATCAACAGATAACCGTGTGACGGTGACATACACCAGTGAGAGAAGTTTGGATATCCACCGTCAATATTTTATGCCCCGTGACAACGCCGTTTGATGTCTATTAAAATGAGTCCACAAGTCTATTCAAAGGGTTCTCAACTGAGCTTGTGGTTGGGATGAATTAGTAATATAGCCGTGGTTCGCCAAGTAAAGCACTTAAAATCATTAAAATAAGCGTTTAAATACTCCTTTATTTTGGCGTCCAAAACGGAATGTCAAGGATTTACCAAGTAGGAGATTATTGGTTGGCGGTAATGTTTTTTTTTTTTATGAATAATATTGTTGTTAATTGTATGCAAATATGATTCGCCTGTATATATGTACACGTGATATCCGCACGGTCCATTTTGGCTTGTCCTGATTTGGTTATAATCAAAATTCATGACGTTTCGATTTCGGCTAAACAGATAATTGCATTGGATATTTCCGGTTTTTGAATGATACGTATCGGAATTACCATAAATCCTATTAAATTCATTACCATAAGTATAGGTGTTATAATCGAAAACCCCAACGCAATGCATAGGAATTATTCGATTATGGCCGGCAGAATAATTTATCGAAAGTCACATTCGATAAAAAAAAAATCAAATCCTCATTGATGTTATATCGCTTTTAAAATGCATATTGTCACTCGTTTTTGTATATTACAATTTTTTTATCATGCTCTATCCGAGCCGAGGACTTCGAGCAAACTGATGACTTTTTTATTGTTTAGCCGTAGACTCAGACTTACTGCGAATTCTACGCTAATAAAACTTGTAGCTAATCGCGTTCAGTGTATAGTAATATCAATCTCTATCACATCCATTGTTGAAGTTTAAAACCGTACAACTGTAAAATCAACGGAAACGGGATGAACACAAATGGCCGGCTATTACCGTATAAGTCTTTTACCGAGAATTATATTCATGCACGACCGGCTGATTTTATAATTTAAGACGGACCAACGGTAAAATTAACGCAGAGTGCGACGATCGAGCGATTTAAGTGATTTAACCCTACGAACACGCTAACCAAGTACACGAGATCTCTATGAAATGTATAAGCCAAAGACGAAAACACCTTACTTAAGAAATGGTCTTGGGTTAGCTTGAATTCGAGCCGAGAAATTTTAATGAGAAACGGTCCGCCAAGGTCATTTAATCAAAACCGTAAAATTTTAAACTACCAGAAGAGCTACATTTCTATCATTTATCTATATATATTTATCTAAATATAAGCCATTCAAATACATAATAGTTTATGTTATGCAATCGAAAATTGAAAAAATTCCACAAACATTCAGTTAGCATAACTGAGGTAAACTCTTATACTTACTTATGAAATGTTGTTGAACGGATGCTATGTTATCTCTTTATTCACAACTAGTATATTTATAACCACTTTGTAAACACAAACATTGAACATTTATCGACGGTATTTTTTACGGTTATATATGGAGTTATATGTTATAAACGGTCGTTTAAAATATGTAATATAACGCTTCGAACTGTATATTTTGAATTTTTTACGTTTTGAAGAATATATTAATATTCTAGCTAACAAAGGAAAATATAAGACTTTAATGGAACGTTGATATTCTTGTAAGCTTTAAGCGAGTAGAGGAAAATACAACTAATTTTATTTATTCATATTGAACATAGCTTCCGTAGGAAATTCTCATAAGACGTTAAAAAAGAGCATACATACTAGTAGTGTATGTGTGCTCATTCATGACGTACATTATATACTTGTTATAACCAATAAGAGAGGGGAGGCGGAAAACAACAGGTAGGATTAATTGTCATTATTAAACAATTTTTAACTTGGACAGGTGGACATCTGGCACATCAGCGGACCAGGAATTTAGCGAACCACCGGCTGGAGTGGAAAAGAAAAAATATCCCATGAACTTTTTTCGTTTGCGGTCTGTTCAAAAGTCGGATGCAGGCAATTACACTTGTACGGCGTCAAACGTTGCCGGCCATCTGAGACTCCACCATCGTGTCATCGTCATCCCGGACATGAGTGCTCAAGTAGTACCCTCTCACTATGAAATCGAGGCAGGCCGGTCGACTTCATTCACTTGCATCACATCCAGTAACGACGAAAACGTGAGTACACCATCGTGTCCATTACAATTCCTCGATTCTGTACGGTTTTCAAAACAAAATCGTATCAAATTATTTTATTCAAATCGTTTATTACCTTTCATGTGTATTTTTTGAACTGTGACCTGGTACCTACTCCCGTTTTGGTGTTTTTGATGTATTTACATGGCATTGTTACTAAAATTTTGTTATAAGGAAAAACAAGAAATAGGGATTATAAAAAAAAAATTTAATCCAGAATGAAAGCGTTATCGTTGACATAATACGACATTGTCATATGTCTTTCTTAAATTTGTGTGTAACGTTTAATCCAATAATACTTTGTGTATAAATTGTAAAATATAAGCACAAATCAAAATCTTGGTGTAATATTTAATCATTGTATGCCAAAGATTTTTCGCTACTGAATAAACAACACAGTCATAAAACATGTCAATATTTATTTGGTTCTATATAAAATGTACAACGTCCATGTGAATTTAACTGATTTATTAATCCAAACAAGGCGACGAGTAATACGCGTTCTCATAATCCTAATTGTAGTTTATATGACTGTTATCCGATTTGAGCGGAAATAATATAATATGAATTCATGGCATGTTATAAAAAATACCTACTTTAATTGAAGGTAAAAAATAAATCCAAAGTCATTATCTATATGTTATCTAATATCCGTCAATAATAACGGCGATACATAACTTAAGCAAACTATCCATCTCCCGCATACCATGGCTAAGCTCTCGATTTCTTACATTACTTGCGTGAAATATGTATTCAAAAACGAAGTCGCATTTTAATATTTGTAATTGTCAAAAATAAACCCAAACGGTGAACGATTGGAATTATTACAGTCGTTGCTCCTTTTTGATTCTCGAGCAAATTTATTCAAATACTCATATCAGCTCAGTTACTAACTTATAAATTTATATTTACAAGTTCAGCGTGGGAAAAAACGTTTTAAATATAATTGTTGCTTCTTATGCATTTGATCGATTGACTGCGATACCTAGTTGCATTATATTAACAGGAATATGTACTTTGGGTGGCGCTCGATAAAAAATTTAAAAGTTAAAATGAGGGGAGGGAAAGAGAAAAGAAAAGGGAGGGTAATTTATCAAAACTAAAAACAACGAATATCAGGTTGTCATAAAACATATTCATGATACACAATGTCTTTCCTTTGAAGGAAATATTTCACCCTTTGTTTTGGATAAAGAAGTGTCTGTGCTCGTTAAGTTTAATGACATTTATTAGTTTTCAACCGTAATCACGTTGTATCATTAAACTTGATCATTAAAAAGGTAACCAATTTTCCAAAATTTAAATCCGAGTATGAGATGTAATTTAGCGTGACGTGCCTATAACGATAAAATCAATACAACTACGAGTTCGAACACAGTAAGTACAATTTAGTAGCAGTAGTAAGTACGCAATGATTTCTTATTCGTTTCGATGAACACGCAGTCGAAAATAAAAGGGATAAAATGTGATAACGGGTCATTTATAGTTGCATTAAATGGTCCGAAGATTTATCGGTTTCGGAAATACGCCGTTAATGTAAATAATATTCCAATGTAGATTTCTGGTATAAAAAAAGACAAAGATCGACATGAACGTTTACGTTTTTATCGTGACAACGATATTATACACATTACTTGATATTACAAGCAATCCATAATGTGTAAGCCGGAAAACAACCGGAGAAATGGTTCTGTTTCAGATGCAAACAAATTGATATAATTTCAAGAAGGCGTATATTCCAACAGTCAAGTGAATTCGGAAATAAATCCTCTGCGAGCCATCGCCGTTTTTCTCAATCCTAACCCGCCTTACCCCATCGTGAATAAGATCAGATCATTTTGCACTGTGTTCTTTTGAAACCAATAACGTTATTCGATTTCTGATTTTCATGCGAAAAGCGTTTTCAAACTAAAGTTTCCGACTATATTTGATTTGTATTGATTTCTTTCGATATTGTATCCTTTTTGAAATTAAAAGGCGTCAATATCTTGATATAAGAATCTTTTATGATATTATTGATAATTTTGTCATCTAAAAGGTCTGGATATCGTCTGGTGGATTTTCAATTATAGCAGTTTCCCACTTTGTCAAATCATATTTTAAACACAGTTTCGTTATATTTTCACTTATAAAAATATTCTTCAATTTTTTCCACTTTCTAATCGAAGGACTATACAAACTTAGTACATATTCAGCTGAAAATAATTATTTGAAATACTTTTAAAATGGGACTAATAATAACTCAGTTGGATAACTATTTTCTACAAACACTGTTTTTCTAAAACCAATTTAACGGATTACATTTTTAAGTACAATATTGATAAAAAAAAATACATAAGCTGTTATCTATGACCGTTAGATTTGTAAAAAAATATAAAAATAATAAAGTATTAAAAAGTTAACTTGCTTACAAGTAAGCAATAAAGTAGTAGTAAGAAGTAAAGAAGTAGTAATAAACTACTTCCATTTGGAACAAGGAATAAAGAAAGCACCCAATAATAATTGCAATGTAGATTTTGATATTCTCATAACTTATCCCCAAAATACATTAAGTGCTTTAAACAATTTGTTTTCCTCCAACAAAAAGACGATGTTATCAGTTTCAATAACACATTATAAACAAAACCTTTTTTAGACTTTTTGTTCTTGTAAATTAATATTTTCCCATGACGAAGAAATTCCACTAAAAACATATTTTCTATTTATACATCATTACAATATGTTTCTAATAAAATAGTGTCCCAAGTATTAATTATTAAAAATGTTTGTTATTTCAAGTATTTTCCCCCAAATAATATTACTAGTAATAGTAATCGAATTCTAACTTAAATTACCAAATAATAGAACTGATAAAAAAATATTATAAATTAATATATTAGTAGGTAAGTTTTTTGTTAGCCTTCATTATGATATGAATGGATTTTTTTCTTAGAAACAAGTCAAAACTTTCAGAACACGCTTACAGTTGAATAACATAGAATTAAGTACGACAAAAATGGAAAGTCAAACGCAAGTCATTAATAACTCGCATAGAATTCTTAGTTATTAAGAAAGCAATAACAACAAAATAATATCGTTTTTTTTTTTTTAGTTATTTTAATTAAAGGAAACGTAACAGCTATTTCTGTTTCGACAATACACCGTTTACAAGTTACAACCTTTTAGCGTTGGTCACATTCCTGTCAAACATTATTGCGTGACTGGCACCGTTTTTGTACGGTTTAAACTTTTAACTTTAGGTCACAAAGCAGAACAAAAAAATAATAACTAACCATGAACTTATACTTGTTACTACAGGGTACCGCACAAGATTTACACAATTTACAGTTATATTTTATATTTTACTAATTTTAAAACCCAGCTTCTTTACATTTTCAAAAGTATTCATTTGGAACAAAATACAATTTAACCGAGCATTAGTTTTATTTTTCACGTTGAACACTTGTCTGAGAGGGAAAATTTAGTTTATTTAACACTGAAAATGATCAATTAATAGGAATGAGTACTCTTGGAGTATAAGCTCTACCGTGATAAAAATAAAACTGACAGTAAACCGTTTAAACGGCTAATTACTTTTCCTCAGAGTAAATTACAATTATATAATACCATTTCTACCCACGTTTATGTAACCACACTCCAAAAACCTCTCTTGTTGGTGTTTAATAGGTTTCCATAAGGAAGCGATGAGAATAATAAATAAGTAAAGGTATGATAACCAAACGAAAAATCCTAAAGCGATTATCTTTAAACGAAACGTGGTCATAGATGAATTACTACAAATTAAAGTGATAAAATCATTTTCAAATAAATGCTCCGTTGTGAATCTGCAATGGTAGAAATACAAATAGCGGTAAAAGCAAAAGCGCTGTACTTAATGACAATAATGTGTTTATAAATGTAATTTTAGTATCTCTAGATATTAATTTAGGGACCCATACATTATCATAGTATTTAAAAATATAATGAAAATATGTTCAAATACCTGTTGATTCAAATACACACACACGTAGCAACCTAGAAATCAACTGCAGTCAAAGTTTCTCCTTAATAAAAAAAATAAATGTTAATCTTATCGGTCCATACCGAATCTACCTTTATTCTAATTTTCAGACCTTAAACCCTATTACTTCACTAAAAAAAGCGAAATAAAAGAAAGTTTCCACCCTTCTCTAAGGGCTTATGATACTTTTTTGGTTTGCCAACGTTTATCGGTAGTACCAGGCCCTGGACACTGATCAAAGTTAACACGGAGAAGAAGATACCACACAAAAACGCGGCGGCCATCTTCTTAAAGCTACACCACTATAATTACCTATAAATTATTATTTTTAGTTTTGTATAGATATAAAACATAATACTTAATATGTTTTTTACAAAATAGTCGTCAATTTTTTTCTTTACATTAAAAGTGACTCTTCGCTTTAATTTGTTTTGTGGTAGAATTATGTTTAAAAAATATTGAATATCCATAAAAATTTGGAACTAATTCAACCATTTTTAAAAAAGTTTTAGAAAGCCCTAATTTTAAGATACTCGTATGACATTATTGACGGGAAAGAGGCACATAAAATATGTACATTTTTTTATCGTTTTCCCTCGATTTTGAAGTAGAAGGGATGCACTTTTTTAATTGTTTACTTAACAGAATACTATTCAGGTACGATTTCTGATCTATAGAGTTACTGAATAAAGAAATGGGTTAAGCGGTTTAGAAGATACAGTGGGTCAGCACTAATCAGCTCCGGATCGAAGCCAAAAAACAAAGATTAACGTCCCATTCAATAAAATAATCCATTTTTTCGCGACAAAGATCAACCTTAACAATAATCCTTGATTAGACTGATATTGTTTTTGAGTGTTGTAATATGAGTACACATCGAACCATAAGTCAGTTATCGAGTGAGTGTTATCACTAATATTTGTCTCTCGGTTAAGAGCTAAAATTGATCTGTCTTTCTTCATTAGACTTGAGAGTTTAAATA